GATCTAAAGTCAGACCGCTTTCTGTCTCTTCTTATCTCCCTTCTTATACTGGTTAATTTCTCGCTGTAGAGCTGCCATTCGCCACTGGATTTAAGGTTCTATTAAAGAGCCGTCGGACCTCCTGATCTAAGTTTGGCCAACTCTTGTTCCACAGGGCTTTGCTACTTTTTTGTGTGCCTTTACTTTCGGGGCAACTAGATTCATATGCATCCAATATTGCACTGCTGACTTCCCTTATACAATTCTAGATGCAGATGGTTTCTGGCCCTCTACTTGCATCTATACGGTTTAGGTTGTCTACGATTGGTGTTATATGTCCCAGTCTGTTTTTCGATTCCTTCGAGTTTCTGTTTGGGGTGTGATTCCTCCTAATTTGAACTCTCGATGATTCTTGTGATTCGATAGGAGGGTTCCGTTGAGACCCTCCATTGTTTCCACGCACCGATAACACCAGCACTCTGGGATTGTTAAATCTTAACACTCTGCCCGCGTTTTGTCACAAACGTGGGCTGTTCCTACTGAGAACTTCAAGATTGCAGCGCTAAGAGAAATTCAAGTAAACACTCACTCTAGTAATAGTGTTAGTGCTTCCCATACCTCATATTGTGTGTATTGAGTCGCATCCCATTAGCAGAGGTAGTCGCCGTTGGCTGCAGAATCGCACGATCTTCGTATTCTCCGGAGGCGGTGGCTTCCCGTCACTCCGGAAAGTAAGCAGAGGTAATCACGATGTTTTTACTGCAATCCCTCGATATTAAGCTGAACCATGATAGGAACAAGATCTCGGGTTGTAAATTCTGGAAACACATGTGTAGTTAATGTCCTTTCTTATAAGAATACAGGCTCGGGGAAATTCCTGCCTGTTATCATATATTACCTTGGAATTTTTCCAGACAAACCTCTAATCTGTCCCTGATACACCCAGGGTTCCTGGGCTAGTACCATTGCATAATGATTTTTCAAAGAGTCTGCTATTGTAGCGGAAGACCCTTTTGCATGGTGCAGGTTTACTGGATATCCCATGCATGGGGAAGGAAGAAAGGATGTTTGGGGTGGGAAGAGGGGTTGAGCAGGACTTTGGACCTGGTTTAGGTTACTGGGTGTGTGGAGGATCTGCCAGAGGGGATAGGTATTCCCTATCTTCCTCTGACAACGGAAGTTCCTCCTCCGAGAAGTGGCCACTCTAACCTTCTCCGAGGATATACACCCTTCCACGGTTGGGGTTTGGCCTCCGTGCCCTCTGCCAGTCGAGAGCTAGTCTTCGGCTGAGGTTCCTGTGAGGTAGAGGCTGGAGGATGTCTCCATTTTCTACCTGTTTAGCTTGGTCTCTTCTAGACCTGATACCGGTGTTGTCCCGAATCTATAGTAAAGAGTGTATCCTCTTTCTATTGCCTCCTGGATTTGAGGTCAATTCCTATTGTGAGGACTTGGCTGCCCTCTCCCTCGAGTTGATGATTCGCCAACACGACGTCCTTACATCGGAGTTCTGGACCCCGGATAAGGTTCAGCAGGTAGGTGGTGTCTTTCCCTTGTCTGGCAACAGACTGTGATGGTCGCCTCCTTAGGGATGCTTTTCTCCCTTCAGAGTTAACCAGTCCCGGGCCTCTGCCAATTCTAAGTTTAGGTGCCGTTTCTATCAACTGTCTGCCGATTCTGGAGATACACAGTCTATGAGGAGCATGCCCACCCGAAAGCAATCCCCGCAAATCGTATTTGACCCATGACCTCGTCGTTGTGTTGCCTCCAATCGCCACTACTTCGTCCAGCATCGCCTCTTCAGAGCCGTTTGCTGGTCGTGTCAGTACAACCTCTGGGTAATCCTTTGGTAGCACTGCTATTTTCACTTTGTTCAGCAACAGAGGCAAAGCTGGTGATGTCCCCGCTTTGCCTCCTCGGTGCTGGACGTCTTTCCATCCTGGCTTTTTTTCTCTCTGCCGGAGCAGAGGTGAAAGGTTTCGTTCCCTTTGCCCTTTGGTGAAGATGCCGGCCTGTTTCTTGGTTCCTTTGCCTCCCCATGGAGGAGTACTTTCTTTTTGCTTCCTCTGGAGCAAAGTCCTGCGTGGAGCAGTCGGAGGTATCTCCGTTTTGCCCGCTAAGACCCACTCTCAGCGGATCGTCCAACTCCGCTGGTTGACTCCAGGCCAGTAGACTAAACGGTAGTCTGCCGCTCTGTTGGCTTAGGGAGGTAAGCCTTCCGACCCTTGCTAAAGGAGGTGGTAGCTTGAGTATCACTTCAGCGCAGACGGTCCCGCGCAAGTGTCAGCCACCTCTCCTAGTTTTCTTTGGGGGTTTGGACCCTGAACTTTCATTGTTCCTGTTCCCAGTGTCGCTAGGGGGTTTCCCCACAGCCCGGTGGTGTTGGTGTTTTTATTTTTATTACTGCTCATAGTGTCTCTAATGAGTAGCTAGGTTTTTCGTCCACTTCTACAGAGCCCCGCATGTAGAAGTAAGGGTAAATACAATGGGTGCCCCCTGATGCCCCCGGGTTGTTGAGACCAGTAATGGCTAGTCCCCCTATCTAGCCACGCATCCCTTTGACCCGGTCCCGCCATCGTAGGATTTAGGCTTTGGTGAGGTTGTTCCCTCTTGGTCCAGGCGGTTAAGCCAGACCCCCCACACCCCCACCATGACATGACCACAGACAGAAGGTGCCTGGGTTTAAATGGGTGTCTTGGTGCACTCCTGGCCACTACAGCCAGAGACAAGACAATGAGCGAGATGCTTCTTGGACCGAGCCAAAGTGCTAGAGAGATCTCACACCTGACAAGGAGCTTCCCCACCAACGACAAGGTCTTGCATCTCCTAGGGGAAGTTTTCCTCTATTAAATAATTCACAATAGGTTTAGCAAGCCGAAATCTTTTCTTAAAATCCACGTCATTCCATTTTTCGAAATTGTTGGGTCGAAATCGTACTGTTTGTGGTCTCCTTAGCCGTTCATGTTGTCTCACTAATTCTAAAAAGTCTTCGTCGTCAGTTAATTCACCTAATAAAGGATCCATTACGAAAAATCTTAAAAACAATAGCAAAACGTGTACCATCAAAACAACGAAAAGCGGAATATGGCATATAATAAGGTTATGTCTACCCCTGAACGACGTTTGAACCGCCTAATGTCACCGTTCAGTTGACTCAAAGTAATTTGAACGGCGTTCAGGCTTGTTAACGCATTTTTGCTTTGATCGTCGTCTACAGTTGATCTGTCGGTGAATTTCGTTGGAAGCAACCGGGCCTAAAAAAGACCGTAAGGTGTAGAGATGATTACGGGATTTTTTGCCAACCAGTAAAACGCAGCTCAAGGGTTCGAGTAGAAAGTTGACCTTAATTAATTGGTTTAGTTTATTTTTAAAAATTCACGATCTCTACCCATTTCCAAATTCTTTTGACTACGCATATATTATCTGCCTACCTACTAATTCGTAAAACGCTGCATAAAATTATATGTGGTGGTATGTATACAATACAAACTTTACCTTTCGAAATAACGTATTACGCTCAGTCTGTAATCATACCTATCAGATAATAAAATACTCTATTCAATATAACCCTGACAACAGCCTGCGAAAGCGTTTTAATCCGGCCCTGAGAGTTACCCGCTGCCAATATGGCGTCGCGATTCGTGAAACGTCATCAAATTCGGCAGAGTCGGCGTTCTGGTTGATTTCTATTTTGTGCCGTGATGTCAAGCAGGGGGGTGACAGTAAACCGGAAAATTGGAAACAGTTGTGGCGCGGTTCTACCCAGGCAGAAAGCATGGCCTTCTAGACTGTCCTAGACAAAAATCTGAATATTTCTATATGATTTCTGTCAATTTCTGCTACGGAACATTTTATGCACGTCGGCGTCCTGTTCTTTTGTCTTTTGTCTGTAGCGTCATTCTCGAGGCCTCTAAGGTCGGCGCCATTTTAATTTTTGCCGTTTAGATTTGATTGGAAGTTATTTCGATATCGGTTGAAATTTATAAGTACAAAGATGTTTTTGATATAAAAGTGCCTTGTTAACACTTTAATAAAGTATATATGATACAATTACATGAAGAAAAATGATGAAATCGACGTTTCTGCGTGTAGTAGGTATGGGCCATATTATATGTAAAATAGGTAATATATTAACTGTTTTTATATTTTTTAGCTTTTAAACCCAAGGATCTTTGGGATATTCTTTGTCAAGGATTTTTCCGTATCTCTACTTTAAAGACTAAGTTTGGTGATTTTGAGTAACTGAAAGCAATTCTATACAAGGTAAATGATTATTGAAGCATTATTAGGCCTACATTAATTTTCTACAAGATGAACAGATATGCGTAATTACATATCACATAGATACCTATTATGTATTTTCATAGCAATAATGCCATAAATCTATGTATGTAGATTATTTTTAAAAATACAAAATGAGGCATTAGATGTATGTATTATATTTTTATTCATTTTATTTACATTCAAGTCCTGTTTGATTTAATTCACAAAAAGTCTTATGTACCCATTTATATTTTTACATATTTTTTGATTCCAGGTTTTGTGTGTGGGTTCCGGGTTGCCTTTTCCTTGCTTCCCAAGTATTTTAGTTTTATGTCCGTGAAGCTGTGAAAACATTTATTTATCTTCAAGTTTCTGTAAGTCAATGCACTGTTACTTTACTAATTCGCTTTAACACAGCATCTCTGATATTATTTAAATATTTGATATTGATACAGCAGTTTATTGGATTATAGCTCTTTAATTGTGTTGATTTGCATATTTACATTGTTCTAAATTCCAAATAAATATTTTTGAGTAATTTTGCTTGTATTATTTACGCTACTAGAAAGAGTAAAAGTATATTAACCCTCATTTAAACTCCCTGAACAGCCCGCCATTAAAAACCGGAAACGGAAATAAATTTCATAAAATTGAAATTGTCATGTCTATGTCATGTCAAATGTCCCAGCCGCCATATCTGAAAATTAGTTACCCAGGCAGCCACGCTGTTTCCATTATTTAACATTGACTTGACACTTCTTCTTGTATTTATTATTTTATGATGTCAAGTATGTGTCAAGTGTCAAGGTGATGTTAAAGTAATTTATCGACGACAAATCATTTTGGACGCAAAACGCAAATATTTTCGATAATTATGACTATTTTGAAAATATAACTGTTTTGGTTCGTTACCGTATTGAAAACTTTGAATATTTTCGAGGACAGTTAAAAACTAGCTTTTCAATCTGCAATGTAAGTATTTTTTACACTAGAAAGATTCATCAGTTAGTCTTTTTTTATGATTTTTTATAGCTATTTTTTTCCAAAGATGAGTAGCAGTCATCAGTATCTTAAAGCATCAAGTTCTAAGTCTGTAACAACTCGTTTAGGTGATATTGAACATTTATCACAATTATCAGAACATTTGTCTTCTCTCTGTCTAAGTCACGAATACTCCGATGTAACTCTTGTAGTCGAGGGGCAAAAGTTGTATGCACATAAGGTTAGTTTAAAAATAATGGTAAAAATATGAAAAATAGGAATAAAGTGTTGTGATTTTGTTAATAGGTTATTTTGGCAGCTCGCAGTGATTATTTTAGAGCACTACTTTATGGAGGGCTAAAGGAATCCACTCAGGTTTTTATTATATAGATATTATTTGACAAATAATAAATATAAATACTTACATTTTTAGTCAGAAATTATTCTCCCAGATGCTCCATTAAACGCATTTAAGATCCTTTTAAAATATATTTATACTGGTGAGTAAAATATTTTGTTCCTATTAACTTCCCTTAACTATATGATCTTTATTCTTTTTAGGTCATATGTTTCTAATGACCTTAAAGGAAGATGTGATTTTGGATACTTTGGGATTAGCACATCAATATGGATTTGAGGAATTGGAGTTTGCTATATCAGATATTTTAAAGCAACTATTAGCTTTAAGAAATGTGTGTGCTATACTTGGTCAGTAGGAAACTTCTGGAATGTAGTTAGTTATATACCTGTTTATTTATTAATTTTAGATACTGCTCATCTGTATGGATTGGATAAGCTTATAGATGTATGTCATACATTTTTAGATAAACATGCCAATGAAATTTTACTACATGAAACCTTTATTGCATTGTCTCAGGTAAATAACAAACTCTGTTTTTATCTATTGATTTACTATATGTTCAAAGTGACTTCTAGACTTCCTTGGTTGATCTTCTGCAGAGAGATTCCTTTTTTGCCCCAGAAGTTGAAATTTTTAGAGGGGTGTGTAACTGGTGTAAAGCCAATGAAGTAATAAACATAACTTATGTTTCAGCTTTTAACTTATAATGAATATTTCTAGGATCATAGTGACTTAGCCATGAAATGTGTTCGACTTCCTTTGATGAATGTAGCTGACTTATTGTCAGTAGTTAGACCAGCCGGATTAGTCAAGCCTGATTGTCTATTAGATGCTATCGCTGATAGAACTAATTGCAGAACTAACAGCCTACCCCACAGAGGACAACTAGGTAGAATTATAACTAAATTAATGTAACGGGCTACTAATTAAAAATTATATATATTTAGTTGTAGATGAAAATGTGGCTTGTCCTCGTACTGGATCAAAAGTTGTTATTGGTGAACTTTCAGAATATTTACTTGATGGAGACTATTACAGTTATGACATGGACAAAGGTTATACTAGACATGCCATCAATGGTCCTGCAGATCAGGGAATTATAGTGAAATTAGGAGTACCTTCTATTATAAATCATATTAGAATGTTGCTGTGGGATCGAGACATCAGGTTAATTTTACCATTTAAAATAATATGATCGAAAAAAAAACGGCATCAGCGATGACTATGAAATGAAGATTGCTGTCATTTTATATGTAAAATGATATTGGGAATATCATCGATCATCATTTCCAAGCCAACTTTTTTTTGGTCATAGGGTATCTTTCAATGCTGTTATGGTTTATTTTTTAGATCATATTCATATTATGTTGAAGTGTCTATGGAACAAAAAGATTGGGTTAGAGTAGTGGATTACAGCCAGTATTGTTGCAGGTCTTGGCAATATCTTTATTTCAACACACGCGTTGTGCAGTTTATCAGAATAGTAGGAACTCACAATACAGTGAACAAGGCAAAATCAAGTATTTCAATACAAAATAACCCACAATCACAATTATCTTCATTTTAGGTGTTTCATTTAGTGACTTTTGAATGCATGTATAAACAGAAAATTCCCAAAATGCTCAATGACATTATATGTCCAAATTACAATGTTGCAACTCTAGAAAAGAGTGCAGTGGTAATTGAAGGTGTAAGGTATAGGATATTTAAATAAGAAACATAATGAATCTTAAAAATATTTGGTTTTTAGTCGAGCAAGAAATGCATTATTAAATGGAGACACCAAACAATATGACTGGGATTCGGGGTATACATGTCATCAGCTGGGATCAGGAGCAATACTGATTCAGCTAGGTATAATCTATAATATTTGTTAAAGTGCGTATACATTAGCGTGCTGAGCCGCGAATTAGCGTTCGCGCGCACCGATTTGTTTATAATGGTACGTGTTTTAAATTGCGAGCAAAATGCTTGCCGCAAACCATCTCCTGTCGGTTTTTCGACGCCCCGCTTTGTATATTCGTTGTTCAATTGGGACGGCCGGTGAAGACAGCGCGCGCATTCCTTGGGCATTTATATGTGACTTTGTGTGTTATCATTTTTTTTTGTATTTTTCTTTGAATATTATTGTTTATTCATGGGTGGTCAAAGAGCCGCACATCTCACATTCTCGTAAGACACAGACATGATTAACGACTAGACAAATGTTCGCGGGATTTTTATGGATCGCGGGATGTCCTTTAGAACAATAAAAGCGACGCGCGGCGAACGCCCAGAGCGCACCAATATATACGCATTTTTTTTATCTCATAACTGAAATATACAACACTGGTTTGGTTTTTAAATTCCTAGGGCAACCATACATAATTTCAAGTTTGAGACTTCTTTTGTGGGACTGTGATGATCGTAGTTATAGTTATTACATAGAATCCTCTGTAAATATATGGGAATGGGAAATGGTAGTGGACAATACTAGGGAGAGTTGCAAATCTTGGCAAGTCATTAAATTTCCCCCTAGGCCTGTTGTTTTTATAAGAATTGTAGGAACTCATAACACAGCTAATGAGGTGAGACTGTTAAAAACATTTGGCTCTTGATCTTGATAACTTTCTTTTTTCATATTTTTAGGTATTTCATTGCGTTCATTTTGAATGCCCCTCTGGCGAGGACAACCAGAACTGTGTTGTCACAGTGTCAGTGACCAATAAGAACAAGGAGCTTATAAATAGCTCGGCCAGTGGTAATGATGAATCGACGAATGCGCCATTTGCGGAGACAGCTACAGAGGCTGAAGAAGTTATGCCTGTAGTAGGGAATTCAAGCAGGCTTTAGTTTTAAAATTTGACTATTTACCTTAGAAACAGTTTGTGTTAATTCTAGCGAAGCAGTGTCAGGCAATATGTTAAAGTCATTTTCGACTATTATGATGTTGTTCAGCTATGTATTTGATTCATAAAAAATCAACTTTGAACAAATGTAAAATTAGTCGCTCTTTTATATCACAACTTTGTTACACATAGAAAACTGCAAGTTTCATTCTGTTGTGAAATATTTCCTCACCAGTGAATAACCTATTTTTTCTCGTAATCTAAGTAATACTAAGTTGCGTTTCATTGAAAGTACATATAAATATTATTGTTTTGAAGTGTTATTTTTTTAAATAAAGTTATCAAAGTCATTAGTTTATTACTACTTTCTGCACACGCACGAACAAAACCGGAGTCAGTGGCCGGCCGGCCGCACCAGGGTTGTTAAGTTGGGCGACAAATGCTACCTTGATGTTTCGAAGAGTTTTTCGCATTGTGTAGACGCTAGACGCTGTTTTAAAACCGTTGTAGTGCAGGCCAGGATACGCTCAGCGGCCGACGTCGAGGAGAGATCCGTGTGTTCGCCAACGGAACACCCCCCCAACCCCCCACCATGACTGACAAACAGATGCTCGTACTCGCAACTTCTGAATCACCGTGGCTATTCTCAATTATCCTCATCTGGTTCAGTATTTCCCAAAGACAGAGGCAAAGATCACCTCAGCGCAACAGATATTCCCTTATAAATTATCCTGAGGTTAGGTTAGGTTGACGGTTAATGATCACAGGATGCCCCAGTTCCACTCTTATGGAGCATTAAATTACAAATTGACGATTCGGCCCACTATAGATGGTGCTAATTTACGTCGTGTATATATGGTTGCAGAACAGTTCATCGTGTATGTATGGTTGCTTCAAACATTACGATTGGCTCGGTCTTTAAATTACATGTAGCCATAAATTTTTCGGGATTGATTTCCCCTTCAGTCTCACACTGTACTTCAACATTCTTTATTTATGGTTCAAACTATATTTAAGCTGCCTATATTTTGTTTTTAATACAAAATGTATTTCTCGTGCTTTTTATTGTATTCCGACTCCAACTTTTTCATATTATATTATTCAAAGATAGCCATATTTCTTAGTGCTTCTTGAATTATACAACTGTGATGAACTGCAAAGAGATGAATTTTCAAAGTATAAGCAGCCTGTAGGATAAATTTTAGGTATACATTGTAGCAGGCTGAATTCATAATTTATTACCACAAAGATATAATTCTAGTAAAGGGATCTGGTGGTGTAGGGGATATGGCTCTCGTCTAGTAACACGAAGGTAGCCGGTTCGAGTCAAAGCCGCAGAAACAGTAACTTTTTTATTTAATAAATAAATTATTTTGACCTTGAAGCCCTGAGCCGCACTCGGCCCGCTATAGATGGCAGCAAAAATTTTGTTCGCTTTTTTATTACATTGACTGATCGTTCTGTAGTTATTCTGTGAGTTTATATATTTTTGGTTTTGGCACAGAACCACAGCACATAACACAGAATATCCATAAAATAATTAACTAGAAAGAAGTGTCAACTCTGTGTTAAATCGTGGAAACACGATACGCCACCGAAAGCCTTCGTTGTCGTCTGGAGAACTAACTTTCCAATTGACAGGTTGACATGATAAGGACATGATGGCTTAATTTTCATTTCCGTTTCCGGTTATTCAATGGCGGGCCCTCTTTTCAGTTCAATGTATTTTGTATTTTTTCTTTTCATAAATAAAACCAAAAATAATTTATCTCACATATATTTATTTGAAATATGGAACAACGTGACTAAATAAATATAAAATATAGAGGATTGTATTGTTTCAATACCAATTAGTTAATTATATGCACTTTCATTTATCGTAAATTAGTTAAGGTATAACTTACAGTAATTTGTAAATAAACACACGCATTCGCAAACTTCAAGGACAGAAAACGGACACAGGAATATGAAAACGGGAGCCTTATACAAAAACCTGAAAACAGAAAAACAATTTTTTTATACTAAAATTAACAATGTAAAAATATCAATAGGTATAAAATAAAAAAAAAATGCTTTTTAAAAAAAGCGTCCATTATTCCCAAAGAACCTGACTTATAAATCAAAAAGATGCAAAAAGAGACTTTTAGTCGGATAACATAATCAGATTATCAGTCCGATTTATTGCATTATTGACAATAAATCGCACATACTAGAGATAACTAATGTTGGCTATAGTTAAAAATGATCTTACCTTGCTGTAAATTGTTTCCATTTTCAAAAATATCGCAGATCAAAGAGATTATAACACCATTTTTGCATCTAAAAAAAAATGTAAAAACAGTGTTTATTTACTACCTATTTTTCTCATATACATGGGACATACCTACTACTGCATAAACGTCATTTTCTCCAGGATTCTTCATGTAATATATATTTTATATACTTTATTACCTTTATATTTATAAATTTCAGCCAAAATATTAAATTGAACTTCCAAAACGAAATTAAACGGAATGAATTAAAATGGCGTCGAATATTTTCGAATTTGTTCTAGAACAAATCTGAAGTTGTCTCTGAAACTGAAATCTGTCAATTCTAAACTGTGAAGTTAGACAATAGTTAGACCAGAGATATGGAAGTGGGAGAATCAGCTTCGACGAGTGCGATCCAAATTTTTGTCGACGGCAAGATGGCAGACATCTTCCAGGTCTCGCTGTCACTTCCCCTCTTTGATTGACATCTGTTTGTTTTGTTTTTTTTTTCGTTCGTGTTGTTATCTAGTTAAAATTTATTATTATCTCAATCAGAGTCTCAATTATTCTAAACACTAATTCAAAAAGGCTTATTGTATATTGTCATAGTCATTCTAAGAAAGCTAATATGCCGGGAAAAATGATTAGTTTTCATGTGTAAGTTTATACAACATAATCGTGTTTTACAGATGATCCAAAACCGTTTATTTTAAGCCTCTAAAGGCGATTTGTAAAAATCGTGATTGTAATTGGGAATGGTCAAAAATAAGTGTATGATGTGGCCATTTAAAGAGGATGTTTTATTACGTGTGGAGGAAGAAGATACTTGGAATCAATGTTCATGCTTCTGTAAAATAGTGCACTCTTATAGTGTCCATGAAAGCACAAGTTCAAGTGTAACAGAAATATGTCAGCCAAGATTGGTCTTTACTTGACAAGAAGATTATTTGGAGGAAAAGAAAACATAAGATAGGGTATTTTAATCGAACAGCGAAATTTAACATTGTAAAGTTTGTTGTAGGTAGTTGTAGTTTTGTGCTAAATATTTCTAACATTAGCAGCAGCAGTGTCCAGAGTGTCAAGAGGAGGAGAATTTAGTTAATTAGATTTATGCACAGTTACAGGTATGAAGGCCTTTTCAAACATAGTATCGAGTTCTATAGAGAACATTTTTAGTATTCCTACAATTGTAAAAACAAGGAACATTTGACTGAAAAAATGGCAAGATTTATATAGGAAGAAAGGGTATTATGCCATAAGAAAATTAAATCTGTAGGCAGAAGTTTCTCTATTTAAAAACTGTTATGGGGCATATAATAATTTGTATCTGTGCCACAAATCACTGAGAAAATCATATAATATTCATAATTGTTAACGAGATGATATTTAAAGAGTGTTAAATATGAGACTATTAGTCATGAAGCTTACAAGGTTACTTTGTTTCAATATTACACTTTTATTCTTGTAAATCTATGATGAAGTTCAAAAGCATTTTGCAATGGCCTTAAATTGTGAGCCAGGATTTATAGCAAAGGTATTTGATGCAATAAAACTTAATCGGTACCTTCCAGTATGTATTTTAGTAAGGGGATTGTCAATCCCATGTTTTTAAATGGATAAAATACAGGCCAAAGTTGATAATATTACAGTTGAGAAGAAACTATTTTATCTTAAAAAATTGAATTCTCAGATCATATAATCTAATTTTCTTAATAATAAATTAGGTATATGTATGTTGTATATACAGAATTTTGTTATGGACAAATAAGGATCGACAAGCTTCTTTGCTAAAAAAAATAAATGATTTTTTCTGGTATTACGACAAACCATAATGTGTTTTACAAACTTACCGGTAACAGATTTTTTTTAAAAGAAATTAAGAATAAAATTTGGTGGTTGCATGACGATTCGATCTCGCTCTAATTCTAAAATTCTAGATCGGAAATCGCATGATTCGCATGCCAAAAGATCGATTTTTTGAAGAATCGATTTAAATCGAACATCCCTAGTTTAGTGGTCAAGTGTCAAGTCAAAACAACATAACCTGTGAACCATTGTGGTGAACCATAACCAAATTGTTAACCTCACGATTCACGATTTGTTATTTTTTTTACGATTTATACTTTTTTCACGTTATAATAAACTTTTATACTATAAGATAATAATATATTCTGTTATCTCTGTTAAAATGGCTATTATTGCAAAACATTGGAAACCTGTAAATTTAGATGGTCCAATATTAGCAAACATTGCCTCCGAAGGCCTTATTGGTATTGAGGAATGCTTCGATTATGATTTAAATGATGTAATAACAGCAAAGGTAACCACTATATCGCTCATTTACTTATCTAAAGCATTATATCCACTTAATAATATTTTTAGAGGAAAAAGAATGTCAAATCTCAAACCAAAAATAAGAAACTTAAAACATCTGAAGAAGTTCTTACACCATCTAAACAAGGTTTCACTAGTAATAATGAAGAAAGTCGAAACATAGAAGATGAAGATATAAATACGTTAACAGCATGGGATGGATATTCACTTCCAACTTCTATATTAAGAGCATTGCGAGACCTGAATTTTGAACAACCAACTGAAATACAGTCAATTACACTACCAGCAGCCATTCTAGGGAAGAGAGATATTCTTGGAGCAGCTGAAACTGGCAGTGGTAAAACTTTAGCTTTTGGATTACCTATTTTAACAGGTATTTTAAGACTAAAGGAAAATGAAATCTCTGAAGAGGTTATCTCTGATGAAGATAATAATGACTGTGATAATGATTTAGATGTAGATAAAAATGGTAAGATTCAATTAGATTTCTTATGTTTTTATTGCTATTCTGTTTTATAATAGGACTGGGCTGTGTAAAAGTAGTTAAGTTAGAAGATCAAAGAGCTAAAAAACCACTATATGCATTAATTCTAACTCCTACAAGGGAACTTGCAATGCAGGTTAAAAACCACATAAAAAATATAGCCAAATATACCAATATTAATGTTGCTGTAGTGGTGGGGGGTATGGCTGCAGTAAAACAAGAAAGAGTTCTTAGTAAAGGACCAGAAATAGTAGTGGGAACACCAGGTAGATTATGGGAATTGATTCAACAAGGAAATGAACATTTATCTCAGATATCTAATATAAAGTATGCCACTACTTGTTAATAAACATATATTAATGATATACAGGGTGGTCCGAACTGTATTCCGGAAACTTTGGCAGCACATTCTGCAGATTAAAATAAGTAAAAAAGTTCATATAAATGTATGTCCTAAAATGCTTAGTTTCGGAGATACTAGAAGTAGAAGTTTCATTTTTATTTCAATTTTTTCAAAATAATTTTTGAAGTAACCTCAATATTTGGATGAAAATTCGTGTCTGGAAGTTTTTTGATATGAGAAATTTGATTTTGATGTCAATATGACTCCTACTTATAGAGGGCGCCACCTACATATGTTTTTTTGAAGTGTAATAACTTTTCGTCCGTACCTGTATAAAACTATGGAGTGAAAAAATATACATTTCCGTGACTTTCTACGTAAAAAATGTCCCTTGGTAAAAATCGCCACGAGCAACTGTTCTCAAGATATTTAGAATGAAAATAGTCAATACATGTCATTATTGACAAAAAATAAACATACCTTAAGTAGATAGTTACTTGACTGAAATAATAAATTTGGTAAATTTTTATTTTTTTAAATTAATCATAAACTTTTCTGCGAAAAAATGATGATAAAACAGTTTTTGTTGAACTTTTGGCACAAAAACATTTTAAATTTATGATTTCAGGCTAACAACTATTTAGTCAACATGTTTAATTTATGTCAATGATGATAGGTATTGATAATTTCGATTCCAAATATCTCGAGAACCTTTACTCGTAGCGATTTTTACGATTTTTTTACTCAGTAGTTTTATACAGGTATGGACGAAAACTTATTATTATTCAAACCAGTTAAAAAATATGTAGGTGGCGTCCAAGGACTGTATATATTCTAAAGGACTGTTCGATCGCGTCAAATCGCCGCTGTCATAATCGCCGTGGAATGCCACGTCACGCGCTGACCAGCGCTCCACAGTGCGGCGGATGGTTATTCTAGCGGGACAAAATCTCAAGAGCAATGTTTGGGACTTAAAATCTAAGAACGTAGCAAATGGTCTAATATATAGCAACTATATGGTTAAATTTATTTATTTATTAACAACTTAATTTATTAATAAATAAACACAAGATAATAAAACTATGATATTATTCGTACATGACACAAAAAAACCGTATTGTAAACTATAGCCAAATACATAAAATTATGATATCAGGTGAAATACTTACAAAAAACTCTTTAGCAGTTATTTTTTAATTACTTTGTAATCTTGTGACACCCTCTATATTTAATTTTAAAAAATTGTATTTTATTTTAAAAATATTAATTAAGATAGATATTTTAATTTTAACACTCGGTAATTGTAAATTCATATATAGTAAGTATCTAAGAAAATTTTTTAAACTCAGTGCCTTTTGATGGAGTTGATTTGTTTTTATACTATCCGATTGAAATGAAACTTTTGGGGCATTCACCTGTTAAGCTTGAACTCCCTGTGACTGTGACTACCTGTGTTGGTAACTATTGGTAATTCAAAAGATCTACATCATTCAATATATTGATATTTGAAAAAAAGTGAAAATTTGATATCTGCAGAACAAAGGCACAAAGGATTTTAACAAATAATATATGTACAGTAGAAAAGTACATACCTTTGGCAATCTTCAACATAATTTGGCTTTGGAATAAAATGTATAAGCACTTGTAAATATTTTGTTTTCGTATGATCTCTGCCTTGCTGAGCAGAAAACCACCAAATATGGTTGATAAAAATGTATCGAAATACAAAGAATATTCATGCATTTTTATATCAATTGGAATGTCTACTATTTATTCTTACAGTACACATTTTTTGGCTTATTTCTAACCAAACGCTTTTGTCCCGCTAAATTTATCTTCCAACGCACTGTGCGCTCGTCCGTCAAATGCAAAAATTATTGTCACTGTCTAAAATCTTTAGCGCCAACTTCAACTCGGTCCCCAGATGACGTAAAAAAACTGACAGTGCAGGAAGTATGCAGAATCTCTATAGTATCCTTGGGTGGCGTCCTCTACAAGTAGGAGTCATATTGACATCAAAATCAAATTTCTCATATCAAAAAACTCCCAGGCACCAATTTTCATCCAAATATTGACGTTACTTCATAAATTATTTGAAAAAAATCGAAATAAAAATGGAACTTCTACACCCTGTATTTCCGAAAGTAAGCATTTTAGGACCTACACTTATACGAAGTTTTTTACTTATTTTTATCTACAGAATATGATGCCAAAGATTCCGGAATACAATTCGGACCACCCTGTATATATATACCGTATGATCGAAAAAAAAACGGCGTCAGCAATTGATATGAAATGAAGATTGTGTCATTTTATATGTAAATTGATATGGGAAATGTCATTGATCGTCATTTACCAGCCAACTGGACGCCGTTTTTCATACAGTATTTAATTATATACAAATTTCGGTAGGTTTTTAGCTATTGATGAAACAGACAGAATGTTAGAAAAGGGACATTTTAAAGAACTCCATGATCTACTAGAAAAAATTAATTTTGATGAACATTCTAAGAAAAATAGGCAAAATTTTATATTCTCCGCAACTCTTACTTTAGTTCATGACATTCCTAGACATTTAATAAACAAAATTAAAATGAAAGGTAGAAAGATATCAGAAATGACCCCAGAACAGAAACTTCAAAAAATTGTTAACACTATCGGTGTCACAAATCCAAAAATAGTAGATCTATCTCAAGGCACAGGTAAGTAGTATATTATCCCTTTTGATGTAGACATTTTATGTGATTTTATTTATCTTAGGTACATCAGGAACATTAACTGAATGTCGCATTACATGCCCAATTGAAGAGAAAGATTATTATGTTTACTATTTTCTAAAGAAACATTCTGGGCGAACACTAATATTCTGTAATTCTATTGGATGTGTTAAAAGACTTACAACTTTACTTACTTTGCTAGATTGCAGTCCCCTTCCACTTCATGCCAGTATGCCACAAAGACAAAGATTGAAAAATCTTGATAAGTAAGATTCTGTTAATTGATTTTTTTATTGCTCTCTTAATTTACTATCTAAATTTTTTAATAAATTTATATTCTTTCTAGATTTAAAGATATGGAAAACAGTATACTTATAGCTACAGATGTTGCAGCCCGGGGACTAGATATTCCAAAAATTGAACATGTTTTACATTATCAAACTCCTAGAACTAGTGAGAGTTATGTTCACAGGTCAGGCCGTACAGCTAGGGCTTCAAACAAGGGTATTACAGTATTAATTATGGAACCAAACGAATTTGGAAGTTATATTAAGTTGTGCAAGACTTTAGGAAAAAGTAAGTACTGTCTTAATTTATATTCATTGAAAATTACTTTTATAATTTTTAAAGATTCATTATATTATTATTGTTCATTATTCTTATGTATATTCTGCAATTTTAATTGGTGTTTATTCCTATTATCTCACTTCTAATCTATACAAATGTTTATTCCTGTGACAGTTTATTTCCTTCTATAATAAAAAATATAGTAAAAAATATAATAATATACAGGGTGGACCTAACCTAACCAACCTAACCTCACATACATACCTCGCACCTCATTCGCCTCGGTTGATTATACGAAATCAGAAAGATGTAGAAACAAAATATTTTATGGTAGGAGGCAATGTGCAAAATTTAAAATTATTTTGAAATATACAGGCTGTTTCAGAACTAAGATCCATACCTAAGTTATATTTTTTTCTTATGGAACACCCGGTATTTTATTTAATTTTCTTGAAATTTTCTTAACGGATTCTTGGACCCAAAAAAAGGCATTTATTATAAGGGTTAAGTATGTTTAAAATCTTTGGTTTTTGAGGTATTTAAAGATATTTGAATATGCATGGTATAAAAAAGAATTGGTTATCAACATCCTGTACATTACTTTTCAGAATAAATTATTTTTGTGCTCAGTTTAAAGGTAAAGAAATTAACTTTACTGAAAAATTTTATTGCCTCCTTAAATTTATACAGGAGTACCAAAAATTGCTGGTCTATTTTAACTATTTATTTTACATAAAAACTTCGTTATTTCAAATACAACACCCTGTATTTTTTTAAATAAAACGAAGCAGATTCAAATGCTCTTTCAAACTATATTAGGGTTTCCTATACCTATCTAGCTCAGATTTTGAATAACGAGCAATTTTTCAATAAAATGGCAACCAAGAGGTCTACTAAAATAAATTAGGGAGTGTGTGTACTTACCTAGATATTTGCTTATCTGTTATGTACAATTCTTTAACAAGTCGAGTTTAGAGCCCCATTGAAAATGAAATTAAAAATAAATGATTGAAACTTGCGCTCTGACAGCTGGCGTATGTACGAGAACAGGCGCAGTATGTGAAACTGAATATACTCAAAAACAAGCAAAGTTTGTCAGCTGGTAGTGAATAAGCTGTGGTTCGGTTTGCGTGTAAACAAATTAGGCTCCGTCCATATTATCCTTGGCAGCAAAAAGAAGATGTTACTCAATTTTAATTTTAACAAACTTGTTTTTATAGTGTAGCTTATACAGTGCCAAATAGTGCTTTTTCTTTGTCTACTTGTTAAATGCTGTGGTTAAATAGAACAGTGTATTTATATTAGAATATTCCTTTTTAAAAGAATATGCAAATGAGAATGTTGAAAGATGGTATGCAACCCCCCAAAACAAGTGATAATCGAACTAAAATATTTCATTTTGGTATGCAACAATACATACAGCTATACAAAGAGTGTATACAATATTTTCTATTAACACACTATTTATAATCGGTTATTTCAATACATTTTAGATGAAGATATACCCATATTTCCTGTGGAGGATAGATTTTTAAATGCTGTTAAAGAAAGAGTCAATTTAGCTAGGCAGGTGGACAAATTACAGCTTCAAGTGAAAAAAGTCAGTTCTGAAGAGGGATGGCTACAAAAAGCGGCAAACGAAATGGACATAATTGTCGATGGAATGTATCCTTTATGATATAATATAATATGCAACAATACAGCGAATCCTTATTTATTTTGTTAGGACTTAATGTATTTTTGGTTGCATATTTAGTATACCAATTGTTTAGTTTATGGTTAGCTGTAATATGATTTTTTTCCTTAATTATTATTATCATAGGTCAAAGAATTACGATTCCGACGAGACAAATTCTAACAAGAAATTAGCAGACTTAAAAAGAAAACAGCTAACGATATTATTAGCTAAGCCTATATTTCCAAAAGGATTTAGCGGAAGATTTCCAGAACTCAGTTTGGAAAATGTAACTGGTTTTAATGGAGTTAGTGCTGAAAGAAAAGCGGTCGATGTGATGCAAGAAGCTATAAATAAGAGTTCTAAAACAAAAAGGCGTGTAAAGTTGTACAAGCCTAAAGATAAAACTGAGAAAAAGAAGAGAGATGTTGTAATAAAGTTGGGGAAGAAAAATAATAAAATATCTAAAAACAGGACCTTCAAGAAGAAAAGGCATAGTTAAGTAATTTGTTTATAATTATTATAAAATATACGTTTTAAAGTTTTTATAGTTTTTTTTTATTTGTAAAGAATATTGACGCAGATAACCAGTGCAAAAGGGATGTGCTTAAGCACAATATAGGTCATATGATTTAATGGAAATGATAATATAAATCTAACCGGGTGCGTCTCAAAAGTGGCTCACCCCTATAACTTTTTTTATTTTTTCAGATAAAAAACGAGATTTGGTATGTTAGTATATGACATAAATTAGAATTGATTGGCGTATTCAATTGTTTTCGGTCACTTCCTGTTTCACCGGAAATGACTACAACTTTTGATTTTTAAATGGCACCCTCGGTATTTTTTTACTTTATTCAATAGAAAATGACACTCTGAATCGAATGACATATGTCAACTTTTGACATATTCGCTCAAAAACAAATTGTATTTTAAATTTCAATCTAGAGTCTTTAAATCAATTCAATCTAGAATTTTTAATCACGGAACCTTGGAAAAATATATTTGATCGTCTAATGTTTTTAATGTCTTGTCCTGGCCAGTTAAAAGATGACCAAACCGTATTTTTAATCATATCTCAATTTTTCCAAATGGAACGAGGGTGGCTCATTAACATATTTGGAAAAAGCATTTTTTTACGAATAATTTGATACCACACACTTGGTATTTCAAGTCAAATTTTCGTTACGAACTGCAAGTTATAATTTCAAATAAACCATATGCCAAAATGTCAAAAGTTGACATATGATATGCCATTCTATTCAGAGTGTTATTTTCTATCAAATAGGGTAAAAAAATACAGAGGGTGCCATTTAAAAATCAAAAGTTGTAGTCATTTCCGGTGAAAGCGGAAGTGACCGAAAACAATTGAGTATGTCAATCAATCCTAATTTATGTCATATACTAACACACCAAACATCGTCGTTTTATCTGAAAAAATAAAAATGTTATAGGGGTGAGCCATTTTTGACACGCACCCGGTAGAGGAAAAAAGTACGATAATGTAATATAACATTTTTGGGATTGCAAGTAAAATAATGATTTTTGATTTTTTCCGAGTTTTCTACGATGTTTTCTATGGATATCTCGGTAACTACTGGAGCTAGAGAGTCGGCCAAATGGGGAAAGAATAATTGCAGTTTTGTGAGGTCAAAAATATGCACCTTTTAAATTTTTCAAAAAGTTTATGGCTTACTAAATATTTCGAAAAAAAAACAATTTCGGTTAATTTAAAAATGCCCCCTAATTGCATTATAATCTATTTTACACAAAAAGTTTTCAGATAAAAGTTGCAGAGAATCGTATCCTAACTATATTTTTAACATTTCTATCATTATGAGGGGGAGCGGCATAATGAACGTCATGTTGGAATCACTCTATTGATGCGCGAGTCTCTAAATTTTACACGAGTCCTTAAACTTTTCTAACATGTCTTGATGCGAAAACACTGTAATGCTGAAAATATTTTAGAAAGATGGAGCAGGTGCCTTTATGTAAAAATCACCGGTTCTTCACAAACGTTTAACGTGCCATCACCGTGAATCAGCCTATACAGGGTCCGGCAATAGTGCGTCGGGCATCTGTAGCTCCTAGAATAAAAAGACTTAAGATTTTTGTTTAAATGAAAACCTTAAGTATGTACCAGGATGTATTTCAGGAAAATATTTTAACTTCTATATGGTGGCTCAAAAAAGTGTGAGAGGATCTGGATCATTTTTTTTAAATGGAACGCCCTGTATATTATTGCATTTTTGGCTTCCTTTCAGATGACATTACATAATCCTAAGATATGATTAAATATTTTTCGATAGTTTCAGAGATATTAATAAATAAATCAAAAATATATATTTTTCAGCCCTTCTTAAAAAAAATAATGAAAAATACAAGAACTGTTCTGAAATCAAAATTATATTAGGTATTTATTTTAGATGGTCTATTCTTACTTTGCTATAAATATGGTAATCGTAAATCATACAGGATGTTCAATATTCTACGCCAAACTTTCTAAAATATAAAATATTTTTTCTTTGTTTTATTAAATGGAGCACCCTGTATATTATTTTTATGGAGAGTTAAAGAATAAACTTTTTTGTATTTAAAGTATTTCGATATTTTTTATAGTTTTGCAGATACACGCAGTATTATTTCATATGGCGCTTTCAATGGTAAAATACACGTAAAAAATCATTGGGCGGCTTTGATAAAAATTTACTCTGGAAAATGCCATATGAAATATAAAACCGCGAATATCTGCGAAACCGTTAAAAATTTTGAAATACTCTAAATACAAAATAATGTTCATTTTTTAATTCTGCATCAATCGAAAACATAATATACAGGGTGTTCTATTTAAAAAAATGAAGAAAAATTATTTAATATTTTAGAAAGTTTGGCGTAGAATTTTGAACATCCTGTATGATTTACGATTTCCATATTTTAGCAAAGTTAAGTAAATCCATTTTAGCAAAGTTAAGTAAGACCATCTGAAGTAAATACCTAATATAGTTTTGATTTCAGGACAGTTCTTGTATTATTAATTATTTTTTTAGGAAATGCTGATAAATATATAATTTTTATTTATTTATTAATATCTCTGAAATTATCGAAATATATTTACTCATGTCTTAGGCTTATGTAAAGTGATATGAAAGGAAGCCAAAAATGCAATAATATACAGGGTGTTACATTTAAAAAAAATCATCCAGATCCACTCATACTTTTTTGAGCCACCCTATATAAGTTAAAATATTTTCCTGAAATACATCTTAGTACATACTTTAGGTTTGCACTTAAACAGAATTCCCAAGTTTTTTATTCTAGGAGCTACAGATGCCCGACGCACTATTGCCGACCATGTATAGTTAAACCTGACAGCATGATTGCAAAAAAAAAATATTATTTCTCAGGCACCACTTCTAAAAATTGACATGTAAACTTGTCAAAATTTAATTCTTAATATAGAAGATTATTTTCCTTTATCTATGTACTTAATTTAGGAAAAAAGGTTACAAGTTGTTTATCTATGGAGAAAAATAAGTAAGGTTTCCGGGCCAAAATTTTACCTTTTAACTAAAATATTGACTGAAATTAATATTTTAGACATCACCTCAAAATATAATTTTGTAACGCTTTGTTGATCTAGTTTTTCAAAAAAATAAAATAAAATGTTAATGTATTTTTAACGATTTTTCTCTATTTAATCTATTCCAGTACACCATTGAACATTGTTGATGTGTTTTCCACTTTTTCGAAAATTGTTATAATGATATATTTTCGACATCTGTGCTTTCTGGAAACCAGAGCTGGAAACCTTTCAACGCCGACTGCATCTTTATACGAGGGTAGGTCAAATATAGTCCGTAATTTAAATAAAAAATAGATTTTTTTTAAACGTCACAAAAGTTTTAATTTTTGCGACGTGATTGACAATATGAAAAAGTCATATTATTATAGTAAACGCCACGAATGTTTGGGAGTGATTCATCGGTCGCTACCATGTGAACTAATCTGTTCAAGGTCACATAAAACATAATTCCAGTGCCGTGGTCTTTCAAATCATATAATAATCAATATATAATCTGTTGTAATTTGTTGTTTTAACTGTCAAAGTCTTGTCAAAACATATATTTGGTTATAAAAATAAAATGGAATGCCCCATTGATCGCACTGCAAGCACACCAATGGACTGACGCACAAAAACGAATCAATGAAAGAAACGCGATATAGTATCGTCTTTGTCAATCTAACATTTTAGAACAAGTAGGAGGAGCGAAGGCAGATGATTAGACCGGGCCTCTAAAAACTACGTCTGCCGTAAAAGTTTACCTTTTTAATGTAAAAATGATAGCGCGCGTGTCGATTCTAACTTCATCAAGCGATGAATCACTCCCAAACATTCGTGGCGTTTACTCTATTATCTTCTAGGCATAAAAGAAAAGCACTTTTACGCCTAAGCATAAAAGTGCGAAAATATATTATTAAACAAGTATTAAACTGAATGAAGTGTCAAATTCAACAAACGTAACCATAGTTTCTCGATATACATTACATTATGGAGTGTAGAGGTAAGGAAAAATATCTTCGTGTCAGTGGCGTAGCTGTAGCTATCATAGGACAGTTTGGTGCAAAGCATCGGAACCCCTCAGGAACTTGGGGCCCCGCAGAGCTCTTCAAAAAAAAATATTTAAAATATACATTATTTTGGTTTTGTTCTTTACTCAGAGGCGCCCTCTAATATATAAAAGTAATTGTTTTATATTCTAAAAAATAAAAACAAAGCTTTTTTGGGTAATGTTTGGTTATGTTACTTTTATTCTTTTATCTATGGTTACTTTTCATTTTTTAGATCTATGCGTCATTAGCGCTACTGTGGTTATTTGGTGAACCCTTGTTATTCCCAGTTTTATGACCACTTTTTCAAATAAAGTCCCATAAGAGAAATTTCTCCTCATCTCTACACTCCATAAATTACATACAGGGTATGACTTTTAAATATTTTTATATTATTTGGAACGTTTGAAATTGTTTAAAACTTATTTGTGGCGTTTGATAAAAAATAGCATGTCCTATTTGGAGTAAAAATGATTTTTTGTGCCTCGGCTGTGTGTTACTCGTCAGTCAAACGTACAGCCTCGCCACGAAAAGTATAATTTTTACTCCGAATAAAACAATATACTATTTAAATATCTTATTAAAAAATAAGCCAGGTTTTTAAAACCTAAATAATAATTTATAATGACTATACGAAAACACTTTGTGTAAAATATTTTCATTGCGCGTTGATATCTTTATTCTACTCCACTAAAACTTTTCCATTTTAGTATTATTTTAAAAAATGTCATTATAATAAAAAGAGTAATTAGTTCTTATAATTCTTATGAATTTTTAAATATCTCATTTCTAAGTACCATATTTTCCGTCCTCATAGAAATTTTAGCACTTTATTATGAGTTGTTTGGTTTGGTTTGGTTTGGTTGTAACTATAGGTATTGATAGAAAATAAAGATATTTTCAATATTTATTACAAAAACAACTTAAACTGAGGAACAT